TCTACTCCCGTGTGCTTCCTGTGGTTGCAGGTCTTCTGAAACCAGACCCAGTCCTTGAAACAGGCTTTAAAAACAATATGTTACTTTCAGCATGTGGGCGCAGTGACTGTGGATGATAGAGGAGGAAAGGTAAATCCTGGAGCTGCCTTTATTCCCCTGACCTCACCCTGACCTTGCAAAGGTTAAACCATAAAGCCACTGAGAAACCCGAGGAGCTGAAAGAAAGATCTCCAAAGCTCATTGGGTGAAAACGAGCACACAAAAGTCCCTGTTGTGGTCTTTGAAGAGGTCAGATAAGAAGAGGTGTGTGTGTGTCTTTGTTCAGAGTATCCTGATATACTGTATTGTTTTAAGATGACATGACTAGTTGACATTTAGATAATCTTTGCCATTAATCCTCTTTCTTCGGGGCAAGGCTACCTCTGAAGGCCATGACCTCTCAGGTTTAAGGAGGGTTTATGTAAATGTGGTGGACAGATAGGTCTGGATTATGTGCAGAATGTACAACCTTTGGTGATGTAGTTTGCAATTTGCATAAAATTAAGGCTATGCTGAGAGCAGTATTTAAAAAATAAATAAATAAAGGAGGGGCTGAGATATCTTAATATTTATTCCAAAGTATTGGTTGAATATGAGTGATGTAATCCAACCGTTAAAAACGTGTCTTTACAAGGTGCAAAACCACGCTTCTACAGCAGGCATTCTGTTGAACGTACACATTACAGGAACACTTTTTAATCAGAGTATAGCATCAAGTCAGCTAATCTTCTGGGATATTGATCTGGTTAGTTAAGAAGCAGAGGGGATTGTTAATCAGTTTCAGCTGCTTTGGTATTAATGAAATTAGCAACAGGTGCACTAGAGGAGCAACAATGACACGACGCCCAAACCAAGAATGGTTTTACAGGTGGAGGCCACTGATATTTTCTCACTGCTCGTGTTTTCTGGCTGTTTCTTCACTAGTATTGCATTTGGAGGTTGCACAGATAGTCCAACTCTTCCACCATGCTGCATTGATTAAGTGCCATTGTCAGAAGGTTTGCTGTGTTTCCCGGCACAGTCTCAAGAGCGTGGAGCTAGAAAACATTATGTTGCCTGTAACATCGGTTTTGTGGTCTGGGGAGGCTTATTTATGTCGTGATGCACAGACTGCAACAGGCATTTGAAGGATGAAATCCTTGGACCTGGTGTGCAGTGGGTCCTGGGTTCCTCGTGGTGCATAATAATACCCGGTCTCATGCTGCAATAAAAGTTTTGCAAAACAGACTAGCCTGCCTCATCCTTTTTTCACTTATATTTTCATTGTTGTCTTTAAATTCAGCCCTCTGTAGGTTGATAACTTTTATATCTGTCAAACTATGCGGCATCCTTTCATTCCATATCAGTACGGATATCCAGCAAGGTTTTTTTTTTTCCTACTAAGGTCCGATGTGTTTTCAGGGTGTTCCTTTAATGTTTTTGAGTATATTTTTTGTTAGAAGCATTCAAGGCCAACTCCAAGGATTGGGTGTCGTTATACAGGTAAACCAGAGGAGCAAAACTGTAACAAAACGACACAATATAGATCAACTTCAACATTTCACCTTCTGTTTAGAAGTTATTGAATAAAACCTCATAGATATTTGTAAATATACACAATGTAAGAGTTCAGCCAAGGTTTTTTCCTCACCAGACACCCCGCCTAGCACACTTCACATCCTTTGTCCCTGTTTGATATTTTTCAGCCAGTTTAAAATAGGAAGTGAGGCTGGAAACAAAGTGTTCTTTAAAATTAGACTCTTCCCGCTAATTTTGGACACCTGCATCCTGCCATAGTTAATACATCCTGTGTGGTCATGGACTCTCATTCGGACGCTCGTCACTGGAAACAGATGCAACATATGTTCTGTATGTCAGCCACCCTGCTCTCACTGTGAGGCTTATTGTGTGCAACCCAGCGGGGCCTTGACAAGGCAAAGCAATCTCTGACCAGCATGGAGGCACTGTAACATACTGTATATGCGATATAATGAGCAAACCAATAGGAATTATGACCAACAGAAGGAGGATTATAACTCAGAGTCAGAGCCAAAGTTAGTCTAACTACCTGTCAGTAATGTTATATCAGAGCACGATTGAGACTCACACTGATCCAGAGTTGCCTTGTCACCCTCTATGAATACTAAAGCAGGAATTTTCCACTGGGTGCTTTCATCTGAGCCTCACTGTAGATGTAACTGCACCTATTCTGTTACAGTCTTTGCTTAATTTATTCAGCAAGTTGTAGATCGAGACTGCGTTTGAAAAAGAGCGACTATAAAGCCTGCACAACATAACGTCAAGACAAATTATTCACACAAAGCACTCACTGTACAACATCAATCACAAACTCAAAGAGTTTCAAGGGCCTACATACATGACGCAAAATAATTAACCTAAACTCTTATAATTAGGTGCTATGGTTATTACCTCAACTGAAAAAAATATGATAAATAAGTAAATCAGCAACATACAAACCACAACAATTTGAGTTTATTACATATAACAAATATAATAAGTAGACCAACATCAGGAAATTTAGTTTTTGGTTTGAATTTGTTTGAAATGTTGCGTCACATTTGACCTCTGACCTCTCCTTCAAGGTCAACAGTTGGATCTGAAGGTGAATGTGACAATAATGCTATATAGAGCTATTTAAAACGATGTTTCTTAATGCCATTGTTTGTATTGTGAATATATGAGTATACAGGGAATGATATATGGGGATTCTAAATATCACGTTACTTATGACCTCTGACCTCTTCTTCAAGGTCAAATTAGGTCAAACTTTCATAAAATGCATACTATCTTTAAAATTTGGCGGGGATTCTAAATATTGTGTCATAGTTTGCATCCGTATCATGTGACATTTGACCTCTGACTTCACTTTTACATTTCACATCTGCCTTTCCTTCAAACTGACCCCAAAATGTGTTATATCTTTAAAAAAGTATTGTCAACAGAAACTACTACTTAGGACTTACTAATATTATGTAATAAGCTCAAGTTATTAATGTATTCATGTTCTTATTTATCTACTTATCATACAAATCAATTCCTATTATCTGTTACCCTTTCAGCTGCAATGCCCTAATGCAATCAGCTATCATCTAACGATAATCTTAGTGCACACAACAGGAGGTGCCTCCCTATGCTCCTTATAGCCTTCCTGTTGCTCCCAAAGACTCTCAGCAGTTCCCAGATTATCTTACAGTACTCTAATGAAACTATGTTTAATTTTAGAGTGACAGACAGGTTTATCCCTTGGACTTTTTAGCCTACCACAATTAACGAATTCCTTGGGATCTCCGGTTTTGGCTTGGCAACAAGTTGCCAGAAGATTAGTCACGTACATAATTAGTCCCTGTGAGAATAAATCTAAATAGCTGCCTTTTGTGTTGAATAAATAAAAGACTTCTAGCATGTTAATTACTTAATTTCGGAGTTGATGATAAGTTGATTTCATTCCACATATTTCTGAGGCTGACACGACAGAGGTATCAGTCTTCTCAGCACTCTCTTTTGTGTTTATGAACTCTGCGGCTCAAAATGGTGGCCTAATTACCCATCCCAGCTCCACACTCAGGAATTACATGGTAATAAACATCTTAATTGGACTATTACTCTAACCAGATAAGGTATTCGCATCGGGATGTTCTTTAAAATCCATTTCTTGTGATTAACTAGGTGTGATTATATAACGATTTCCCTGCCTGTTCGCAGTTGTCCATAAAAACGATGAGAATAAAGATGAAATTGGTGTTGTCTGCGGATACCGGAGTGAGAGGACCGGTAATCTTCTCAGTCCTTCTGTTTTGAGCTGCGACCCCCTCCTCTTCCTCCACCCTCTCTTCCCATGCTGTCACTCTCCCAGCCTGCACCTGTCAGATTAGTCTCATATCCTCAGCTGCTACTCCATGTGATACGCCTCCTTACTGCCCAGAGCCTGCATGTCATTTTACTTTGCATGTATTTATGAGTCGGAGTGCATGTGAAAGGAAAAGCGAGGGGGAGAGAGACCAGATAGAGGCCAGTCTCATGGAAAATGTATAAAATGTGAGTGTTGCTGGTTGTTGCTTCCCAGTTTCTTCCTCATGGTGCAGCAGGATTTGGCTTAGTACCATTAACATGCAGAAGCCAAAATTTAGATGAACACCGCCCCCTAAATCGCTGGATTACCTGCAGTCGAATAAAACTAAACCTTTCTCTGTGAACGGATATTTTGCACCAGCTCCACACTGCAAGCATTACAGTCACCTGGTCAGACGTGTTAGGCTGCTTGGGGGGGGGGGGGGGATGTTTGTAAAATGGAAATCCTTCCCCATGACTCGCATCTAGCAACACTAATAAAACAGGGAATCCAAGAGGAGGATGAGATGGTGGGAGCCAGTGGGGGTGTTCCACCAGTCCAAGCCTCCCTGGAAGATGGACTGGAGCAGCTGAGACAACAAGCATGTGATGTGAGCGAGAAATAATAATCACCACAATTTGTTACCATCAAGATCCCCTAGATAACAAAAGGAATCCCGGAAAGTGGATCGTGTAACTGTAAAAATAAGAGTCACAGAAAAACGGTCCACGAGAACAGAAGTCGGAGCGATTTAAAAGTAGTTTTTATATAGGGCTTTTCTACTCTACAAGGAGCACTCGGAGCACTTCGTAAAGCATGCCTCATTTTTACATTTCAATCTGCTTTGATGAATAAATTGAAGAGCAACTTGGGGTTCAAATATCTTCCCCTAGGATACTTTATGGCATGCAATCCCCCAACCTCCCAATTGGTAGATAACCCGGGATACCTAACGAGCTATAGCCATCAACTTAAATGCCATTTCATTCGTCATCCACGTTGTTAAGCGTGTTTATTACTACTATTTATTACCTCTATTGGAAGACATAGAGGACATTAGCTTGAGAACTTTATTCTGAAAGGCACAGTCGGAAACGCATTGGATAAGTTGACGTTGCATTGGTGTGTTTTCTGTGAGCTCGGAACAGTGCCGCACCAGCTGGATGTGACAGAGTTGCATGTAGAGGGTCCAATCTGTGCTCACAGGCTGAAACAGTGACAGAGATCTTAGGTGGAGTGGAGTGTGCGCGTGCATGCGCTCGAGTTTCGTTGTGCAGCGAGCTAATACAGCGTGCACGTGTCAGGGATCAATTAATCTGTCACGGTTACAGTGAACGAGGACAGAGAGGAGACGGCGGGGACTGTGGCGGCTGTGGAGAGCTGTCACTTTCTCTGTGCGCGTAGAAGGATTATCATTACGCACGTTATGCGGAGCGCAGCTTCGGTGATGCGCTGAGTCGGGAGAGGTGCAGCGGGGAGCAGCGAGAGTCAGCCCGGACATTCAGCGGCATAATCAGCGCAGTAACTGGAAGAGGGGGGATCCGTGTTGTTATGGGCATCGCAGGATTCCGACCGGCCGTCTGTTTTATTTATTCCGGTGAACACTCCGACGTTGGTGCCGAATCAAAGTCAAATATGCGCACTGCTAAACAAAGGATTTAAAGGGAAAACGATAAAGAATCTCTTAAATATTTCAACCCTTAAACCCGGTTTGTCTCATCCTCTCTCTTGTTTTTGGACTTCCATTCATGCACATTCTGCCGCTGAGGAAAACAGACACGGGCTGAATAACCGGGTACCTCTGGTGTGGAACCAGGAGCAGGAGGAATCCTCTGGTCTTATCTCATAAGGGTCCATGTGGATGGAGAGAGAATACGCAAACCCAGCGAGCGGAGCTCATTACGAAATGTGACATTTTTATTGTGTTTCCCATCAAACCTGACAACTGTGCACCCGTCTTCATCCTCGAACACCTCTAATTTACGTCGTTCAAGGTACGTGCTGCTCACCATGTCGCCTACAGATACTGATTTTTTAAGGGGAAAAGGGAGGGGGGCCAGGGGGAGTTATCCTTGTGGAAATGTGTACGCACGACATTTACTGGGGGCTGTTTGGCTGAACACCCTACAGGGAATCACTGTTTATTTGAATGCACCTGCGTCTGTACTGTATTAAGGTCGATTTTTTTTTAAAGGGGGGTTTATCAGCTGAGAAGGAAGTTGCATCACTGACAGCCGTAGAAAAAAAAAGGCGATGCACCAAATGCAGGTGTGGGGAGCAGAGGGCAAACATGGGTTGAGCATTTTTGCAGAAATGTAATATTCATGCACGATGCTCAGCTCATACTGTCTGGAGCTTAAGGCAAATTAGGTAAAAACTAAAGAAAATGACGAGTGAAGCAGTTCGACTGGTGAGACATTTGAGCTTTTTTTCTCACGAGGATAGAAACGCTGCTCTCTTTTAGTGGCAGCGACTCCATTTTCATCCCACAACACACTGGGATATTTGGGGAGTGTCAATCACTCCGCCGTGCTTTAGTTCGGAGGTTAGATGTCATTCTTTTATTTTTGGGATCACACACACATTCCCCCCACCCCCCAGGATAACAATGGCCTTACTTCTGGTCCCTCAAACAAACACACTCTTCTGGAAGCCCCCAGGGATCCTCCCATGTGGTCGTATTGTTAAGAGAGAGGGGGATGCTGAAAAAAAGGAAAAGAAGAAAAGGGCATTCTCTGAATTTGTGTTTGCATTAAGCTGCTTCTTTGGCCAGCTAAAACACAGGGGTGTCCCTTTTAGTAGACTTGAACCTCTCATGCTGGCCTTGCAGACAGGACACAGTGCCCAAGATGTCTAACTTGACAAGAAATCACACTTAAATGTCCTCTTGAGCCCAATTAGAAAAAGGATCTTTGCATGGAAACTGATGCCAGTTTATGGATTACCCTCCTTATTGATCAGTAGATAGATGATACGCGAGCTCTGCGTGCAGGATCGTGTACCGAGTAAGCTCACTGGCCTGTTTTGGAGTGCTTTGTTTTCTATCATTAATCAATATTCAGCAGGGTGAAGCTGTTTATTGTCAGACTGTGAATTCATGAGTTACTTAGCATCCTCTTGGGGGAAAATAAAGCTACAGTTTGTCCTCCGGGAAGACGCCATATGTGCCGTGTTCAGATGATTGTATACGTGTGTGTGTTTGTGTGTGTAGCTTCATGTACACATGAAGCAGCTGACTGTATAAGATGGGGTATTTTTGTCACTTACATGGGAACTCCTTGCTTCTCCTTTTATATGTGTATTTGTGATCATGCACCTCCCACCCTTTCCAACACACACACACACACACACCCACCCACACACGCTCCAGGCAAGAGCCTCGCTCCAATTCTTCCTCCGCATATCCGGCTGTTCCTTCTTCCTCTTGCCTCTCTGATCACTATCACGCTCTCTAACCAAATCTGATCTCCCTGGGCCCCTGTGACCACCCCCACCCTCCAACCCCAGCCTCCTTCATCTCCACCCTGGGTCCCATCAAGTTATCTATAATGGATGCCGCTCATTCGTGTCACACAGAAGCAGAACACGTGACACCAGATGTCCGTGGCTCTAGTTTCAGGGTACACTTTGGGGTTTGGCATGCCTTCACATCTGACCCGTCACCTCACGCTTGTTGTTATTGTCGGAGGGAGAGAGACAAGATAGTCAAGGGAGGGGAGTAAGGCTTGAGAATAAACACTGGCGCTCTTAATTGCCAAGTCAATTAGCATATGGTCTCGCTGCGAGTCCAGTCACATGGTAATGAGGCCTAATTAGGGTGGCCAGGGATGTCTGAAGAGTCTTAGGAGAATACTTACACTGTCAGATTCTTCAGTATGGCACCCAGGAGCTTGGTGTGGCAAATGTATCACGTCTTTTCAGGCTCTTCTTTCAGGGTTTTTTTTATTCCTAAACCTGTTTATATATGTTGTCTTTGAGGTTTTTTTCCCCTAAACTTTGTCTTTCCAACTTCTTCCCACTGTTTTAGCACCCACATGTACATCACAGTGGAATAACACATCACTTCCCTCATTTTTCTCTTTAAATTTCCATTGTTTTGTCTGTTGCTACCAGCTGGATTATGATCGAGCTCGCAAATGTCACAAGACTGTTGACAAACGCAGTCAGATCAGATGATGGAATTCACTTTTGGCTATTTTATGTGAATTAGGAGGTTGGATGCTTTCCAGCAAATCCATTCCCTCGCATTTGTTTATGATAAACCTTCATCAAAAAAAATGGCGTCATGAATGGGTAACAGTTGACCGGCTATGACAAAAATCTTGTCGGAATAATGAAGAAAGCGTGCTGTACTTGCAGGATCAAAGCTGCTGTAGATGTCTCCAGTCCATGCACAGGAAACTCTAGGATGTCTGCTGCTGTGTCGCTGGGATCTCAGGTCTGTTTATTTCAGCAGCCTTGCAGGAAGTACAAAACTTGGAAGTATAGAAATATATATTCATGCACGAGACTCAGCATATAAATTGGCCACATATTGGCGGTTTTCATCATTGAATGTCTGTGACTCTGGTTAAATGCACTGCTAGAGAAGTCATCTCTGGTCATCTTGTCAAAGTGTTCTCAAGAGAGAAAGAAGATTCTTCGCTATAGGAAAGAAAACCAAGTCCAGCCAAGCCAAGTTTAATTTAAAACCCTCTCAGATCCTCTAAAACTGGTTGATGAAAACAGAAAACTGGAAGGAAGAAGATGTTCGAGCCAGCCCTCTCACTCAGAACGTCTTCATCTGTAGACCATGTACAGTCTTAATATACTTTTACACTACAGCACTAGGTCCTTAGAAAGAATAGAATAAAACGAACTCTTATATTAACTGATTATAATGTACTTCGTTTAATAACTGAAAAAGTTACAGGAATAAACACCTGTTATTCAAATGGTCAGTATTTTAAGTAATTTATAGATTTTTGTCAATGCACTATCCTGACTTTATTTGGTTATTTTTTTTTTTTGCTTGTCAGCTAGTTATTATGTAGCAAAGATTTTTTATATAAACAACATTATCATTAGTTTAAAAAAGGCCCTGAAAGGATCTAATTGCAACCTTCATAATATTCTATAAGGATGAATCAGTGGAGAGGGACAAACACGAGTTGCTCTTTCAGACCAGGCTTTCATTCCTGAAGCCACTGCAGGCCTGGGTTCATATTATATATATAATCCCAGCTAATAATGTAAACGTATGCAGTGTTATAAGAAAAGGTGGATAATGCTGGCGTCGTTGAGCGGTGTCACCAGCAAGCAGATGCCAGGACAAGACATGCAATTGACCCGCTCACCTCAACAGCTGGATCCGTGCGTTTCCAGATGTATACCTATGTATTTAAGCACTCGTACAGACGCAGATTCATCCCCATTCAGATTCAAATTCTCGGCATAAGACTCAAAAAATGACAATTACTGCTGTTGTCAAATCGTAATAATCCTCCCAATTATCACAAGGGTAATTAGAAAGCATCTGCTCGTGAGCTACGTCTGATAATTGTTGGAGCTTGTAATTGTACAGGACAGCTTGTTTCTACCCCCCC